CAGAGGTCAGGGCAGGCGGCAATCAGCAAAATCCAAAGAGCAGACAAAGTCAAGAAACCAGCAAGGACAGGAAGCACAGGGAAACAAATGCTAGGAGTTCTGAGGCAGGCAACAAAACAACCAAGCACTGACTGAAAGGTGAGCTCTGCTTATAAAGGAGCGGCTCAATCATATAACCTGGTCTCACCTGTGGGAGGTGTTACCTGAGGTCAAAGTGATTGACTGTGGGACACAGCCCCATCTTGGATACATCATTGTCCTGGCTCCGACCCTCAGCAACACCTCCTCCAACCTCTGACCTGCAGACCAGTCCTCTCATGCAGCGGCTGCCATCTCGGAGATTACGCTCCTCAGCCACACTTCCTCTGACCTGCAGACCAGTCTCCTCATGCAACGGCTGCCATCTTGGAGGCTCTGCCCCTCAGCCACATCTCCTCCAACCTCTGACCTGCAGACCAGTCTCCTCATGCAGCGGCTGCCAGCTTGGAGGTTCCGCTCCTCAGCCACACCTCCTTCAACCACTGGCGTACATACCGCATTTTGCCAGCCTCTTCTCCTTGGGGGCCGAGGAGCTGGCCACCTCAGGGCCCCCAAGGCTGGCAGGGGCGTCACTTTGCGGCTCTCTCTGCCCAGCTCCCTCGCACACTGCAGTGATGCCGGACAGCTGATCAGGAGGATCAGTGCTCCCTCGTGGCCTGTAATGACTGGGCCGCCTGTAATGACTGGCTGGCCGCCCAGCAGCCCCACTGGACCCCAGGGAAAGCTGGAATCCCCTCCGCACTCCCAAAAGTAGTACATTTTTTTTTTAAATGTGAGTGTGTATGTGTGTTAGTGTTCGTGTGTCTGTGTGTGTGTCAGTGAGTGTGTTCGTTTTTGTGTCAGTGAGTGTGTGTGTGTCGGTGAGTGTGTTACTGTGTGTGTGTCTGTTACTGAGTGTGTTAGTTGTGTGTTGTTGTGTGTGTCTGTTAGTGTGTGTCTGTTAGTGAGTCTGTTTGGTGTCTGTTAGTGAGTGTGTGTTTGTCAATGAGAGTGTATGTGTGTCTGTCTGTCAGTGAATGTGTATGTATATCTGTCACTGAGTGTGTGTCTGTCAGTAAATGTGTGTGTCTGTTAGCTAGTGTGTATGTGTCTGTTCGTGATAGTGTGTGTGTGTCTGTTAGTGAGTGTGTGTATGTGTATGCTTGTCTGTTAGTGAGTGTGTGTTTGTTAGTGAGAGTGTATATGTGTTTGTCAGTGAGTGTGTATGTGGGTCTGTCACTATGAGTGTGTGTCTGTATGTGTGTGTGTGTATGTATGTGTGTCTCTGTGTGTCTCTGCATGTGTGTGTGTGGGTCTGTATGTGTATCTCTTGGTCTGCATGGGTATCTGTTTGTCTGTATGTGTATCTGAATGTTTGTCATTAAAGGACCACTATAGTGCCAGGAAAACAAACTAATATTACTGGCACTATACAGTCCTTGAAGACGTCTGGGTGCCTATAAGTGTATGTGTATCTGCATTAACTGGGGGGGGGGGTTAGGGGAGGCACGGATCAGTTTTCGCACTGGGGCACCATGGATCGTGTGTACGCCACTGCCTTCAACCTCTGACCTGCAGACCAGTCTCCTAATGTAGCGGCTGCCATCTTGCATGTTACACTCCTCAGCAACACCTCCTCCAACCTCTGACCTGCAGACCAGTCTCCTCATGCAGCGGCTGCCATCTTGGAATGCTGGAACAATCGTTCCGAGTTTCATGGCTGTGAATCAAGGTTCAGAGGATGCAGACTGGCACTATAACCGCTGCAGACTGATGGCCTGGAACAGGTGAGTATCGTTGGAAAATGTAACACTGCTCTAGTAATTGACCTTTTACTTAAACTCACTTACTGTACTAGGCAGCAACCTATAGAGAGAGCTAAAAGAAAAATAATTAGAACTTTAATCAATCATGCATTCACAATTGAATTATTTTGGTAATATTTATTGAAATGAACGTTGTGCACAGATTGTGTTTTGACAATGCCTAAAAATTAAAAATTGTTTATACCTTTGTCTAATAAAATTGTTTGTATAAGCAGCTTGTGGATATATCTAGATAATCTGATGGCCTTTATGAGAAATTCCACAAGAATCATGCCTGTATACATCACTTTGCATGGTGGAAAAGCTGTTGACACATCCTATTTTAAAGCCCTGTCCCTATTTAAAGGAAAACTTTAGGGTCAGGAACACAAATATGTATTCCTTAACCTATTGTGTTAAAACCACCATTTAGGTGGCTTGCCCCCCTTCCCCTTAAAAGTTAATAAAAGTTATCCTTATTTGCAGTGCCACGCGGGTCCCGCTCCCGATCCGCCTTCTTGCTGACAGCATCCTTAGGGAAAGCATTAGATTGGCTGAAATCGGCAAATTGGCAGGGCCAAACGCTGGCTTGGCCAATCAGCACCACTTTATAGAGATGCATTGAATCAATGCATCTCTATGAGGAAAGTTCAGTGTCTGCATGCAGAGGGGGGAGACACTTCATGTCAGTCAGACTGAGCAGCACTGCCCCAGGAAGCACCTCTAGTAGCCAGTGCTAGACTAAAATGTAAACACTGCCTTTTCTCTGAAAACACAGTGTTTACTGCAAACAACCTGAAGGGAATGATTATACTCACCAGAACAAATACAATAAGTTGTATAACGTACATTAAATTGTTGTTCTTCTGGTGACTATAGTGTCCTTTTAAGTTTGCAATACTATTACTATTTGCAATACTATTCTTCATTAATGTTGCACTTGTCTCTGTAAGATTTACTGTTTTTGATCTGCTTTAAAAAAAAAATTCTGAAAGCTTCTGCCCCAGTACACAGTGTAATAATCATTTCTGGAAGTATGGATGGGTACCTTTTTTCTCTGCTGGTTGAGGGCTGGTACACCTTAGAAGAAAGGTTCTTGAAACCCTAGTGAAGCTGGAGAAAGCGTTTGCCTGTGCAGACCTGACATTTATTTGCAATCATAGCTGAGATTTACAGTTTATTACTGATAGCTTTTATAAAGAGCCATTCAGTTCAGAGGTGAGAGGTTTGTCATCTGGAAATGCAATTAACTTTCGCTTATCCCAATCCGTGCAATCTTAGCGTGAGAGTAGCTCTTCACACAGAGCAAGATTTCCAGTTGTGCTGGCTGCATTTGATATCCCCTCAATTAGTAAGTAATACATGCATGGAATTTAGCTCTTACTGAGGTTTGGTAAGCATAATGAAAAACACTAATACTGCAGAAACCAACAGAAAAGCACATAGACATACCGAAAAAACATTAGCCCCTGGTGCTGGGATGTGATGTGGGGAGGAGATGTAGTGTCAGTTTAGAAGGCCATTCTCCATCACAGCTGATATATTTGACATTATTTAAATCCAGTTATTAGTTTTTCATTAACTGTACAACACTTAATCATATAATTTAAGATGTGATTAATAGTCTGACAAGTAAATGCTACAGACAAATACAAAATGCTGTATTTAAATATAACTGTTCACCAGTGAAGGGGAGGAGAATGGGGGATGGCGAAACGCAAAATAATTAGTTGCATCTACGTTACATCTCAAAAGCAGTTTAAATTTCCTAAAACTAGAGGAAATGTCCTGCTTTGATAATAATTATTATCAACAATGACTGGCAGTTTAGACAGTACTATCAGATATCACACAAATTATATATTTTGCTTCTTTATTCTATTATTTTTATGCACTTGCATCATTAGAAACAGTTATCAGACAGATTGTTGAATTGCTAGAATGTAATAGCCACCACTTCTCAATGCTGCTCTGAGATTAATGTATGCATAGAATTATTTTGATCATTTGTTCACCACGTACACCTGATGAAAGCATCTATTTTGTGCAGTCGTGGAATTAATTCTTACTGTTTGCTAGAAAGTGCTCTGATACCATGACATTATATAGTAATAAACACAGTAATCCCTCATTTTGTCATATTTATTAAAACAAAAGGAAATCTGTAGCTTCCATGTTCTAATTTAGTGGGGGGGGGAAGTCATATAACTGACTGAGGTATATGATCTTGTGATTCAGTCCATAGGGCAATTTATACTTGTAAAATAAAGCATTCTCTGAGCTGGTCTTAAGATTTGTTGTCCTATGCTACTAGTCAAGCCCTTAAACGTTACCCTCCAAGGACAAATTTCTACTAACGTTTCAATTATTAATGGCTATCTGCGAGTTGAGAAATAAGTCTTTAAGTTATCTATAGTCTGGTTCTATAGTTTTTAAGTGTTCTATAATCTTTATGTGTATTATAATCTAGATCTATAGTCTTTATGTGCTCTATAATCTTTATGTGTTCTAGAATCTGGTTCTATAGTCTCAGGCTGACTGCTAGTTTTACATTGATGTGAGGAAAACACACATACAATTTAGTAGCTATGTACTCAGTGGCTCTCCATTTTATAGAGCAAGATTTTAGCTTTATATGCTGCAGGTCAATAGACCTTTATTTTATATAACATTGGAAAATGGACCTTAGTATTATACACCATGGATCAATGAAACTTAGTGTTTAACATCAAGAGTCGATGGATCTTACATTGTGGGTGAACGGACCGTTGTGTTGCACACTATGGGCGGATGGATCTTAGTGTTACACACAATGGGTCAATGGATCTTAGTGTTATCCACCTTGGGTCGATGGACCTTAGTGCTATACATTATCGGTCACTGGACGGTTGTGTTACACACTATGGGCAGGTGGATCTTAGTGTTATACACCATGGGTCAGTGGACCTTACTGTTATACACTATAATTAAATGGACCTTAGTGTTATACACCACGCAGAGATAGACCATGTTATACATTGTGGGTCAATGAACCATTGTGTTGCACACTATGGGCGGATGGGTCTTAGTGTTACACATAATGGGTCAATGGATCTTAGTGCTATATATTATTGGTCACTGGACCATTGTGTTACATAATATGGGTGGGTGGATCTTAGTGTTATACACCTTGGGTCGATGGACCTTAGTGCTATACGTTATCGGTCACTGGACTGTTGTGCTACACACTATGTGTTACACTGTTATAATTATGGGTCAATAGACCTTACTGTTATACACCATGGGTTAGTTGACCTTAGTGTTATACGCCATGGATCGATGGACTGTAGTGTTATACACCACGGATTAATGGACCTTAGTGTTGTACACCATGGATTGATGGACCTTAGTGTTAAACACCATGGATTGATGGACTGTAGTGTTATACACCATGGATTGATGGACTGTAGTGTTATACACCATGGGTTGATAGACCTTCGTGTTATACACCATGGATTGATGGACCTTAGTGTTATACACCATGGATCAATGGACCTTAGTGTTATACACCATGGGTTGATAGACCTTGGTGTTATACACCATGGATTGATGGACCTTAGTGTTATACACCATGGGTTGATAGACCTTAGTGTTATACACCATGAATTAATGGACCTTAGTGTTATACACCATGGATTGATGGGCCTTAGTGTTATACACCATGGATCCATGGACCTTAGTGGATTGATGGATCTTAGTGTTATACACCATGGATCAATGGACCTTAGTGTTGTACACCATGGGTTGATAGACCTTAGTGTTATACACCATGAATTGATGGACCTTAGTGTTATACACCATGGGTCGATAGACCTTTGTGTTATACACCATGGATTGATGGACCTTAGTGTTATACACCATGGATCAATGGACTTTAGTGTTATACACCATGGGTTGATAGACCTTGGTGTTATACACCATGGATTGATGGACCTTAGTGTTAAACACCATGGGTCGATGGACTGTAGTGTTATACACCATGGATCAATGGACCTTAGTGGTATACATTATGGGTTGATAGACCTTAGTGTTATACACCATGGGTTGATAGACCTTAATGTTATACACCATGGATTGATGGACCTTAGTGTTATACACTATGGGTTGATAGACCTTAGTGTTATACACCATGGATTGATGGACCTTAGTGTTATACACCATGGATCAATGGACCTTAATGTTATACACCATGGGTTGATAGACCTTAGTGTTATACGCCATGGATCGATGGACTGTAGTGTTATACACCACGGATTAATGGACCTTAGTGTTGTACACCATGGATTGATGGACCTTAGTGTTAAACACCATGGATTGATGGACTGTAGTGTTATACACCATGGATTGATGGACTGTAGTGTTATACACCATGGGTTGATAGACCTTTGTGTTATACACCATGGATTGATGGACCTTAGTGTTATACACCATGGATCAATGGACCTTAGTGTTATACACCATGGGTTGATAGACCTTGGTGTTATACACCATGGATTGATGGACCTTAGTGTTATACACCATGGGTTGATAGACCTTAGTGTTATACACCATGAATTAATGGACCTTAGTGTTATACACCATGGATTGATGGGCCTTAGTGTTATACACCATGGATCCATGGACCTTAGTGGATTGATGGATCTTAGTGTTATACACCATGGATCAATGGACCTTAGTGTTGTACACCATGGGTTGATAGACCTTAGTGTTATACACCATGAATTGATGGACCTTAGTGTTATACACCATGGGTCGATAGACCTTTGTGTTATACACCATGGATTGATGGACCTTAGTGTTATACACCATGCATCAATGGACTTTAGTGTTATACACCATGGGTTGATAGACCTTGGTGTTATACACCATGGATTGATGGACCTTAGTGTTAAACACCATGGGTCGATGGACTGTAGTGTTATACACCATGGATCAATGGACCTTAGTGGTATACATTATGGGTTGATAGACCTTAGTGTTATACACCATGGGTTGATAGACCTTAATGTTATACACCATGGATTGATGGACCTTAGTGTTATACACTATGGGTTGATAGACCTTAGTGTTATACACCATGGATTGATGGACCTTAGTGTTATACACCATGGATCAATGGACCTTAATGTTATACACCATGGGTTGATAGACCTTAGTGTTATAAACCATGGATTGATGGACCTTAGTGTTTTACACCATGGATCAATGGACCTTAGTGTTATACACCATGGATCAATGGACATTAGTGTTGTACAAAACGCATATAAGCTCATTTAGCTATTTTTGTGTTTGCCGATCTATTTATTTCTTGTTTTGTTTTTTTTTTCATTTCTTATACACCATGAATTGATGGACCTTAGTGTTATACACCATGGATCAATGGACCTTTGTATTATACACCATGGGTTGATAGACCTTAGTGCTATACACCATGGATCAATGGACCTTAGTGTTATACAGCATAGGTGGATAGACCTTAGTGTTATACACCATGTGTTGATAGACCATAGTGTTATACACCATGGATTGATGGACCTTAGTGTTATACACCATAGGTTGATAGACCTTAGTGTTTTACACCATGAATTGATGGACCTTAGTGTTATACACCATGGATCAATGGACCTCAGTGTTATACACCATGGATCAATGGACCTTAGTGTTATACACCATGGGTTGATAGACCTTAGTGTTATACACCATGGATTGATGGACCTTAGTGTTATACACCATGGATCAATGGACCTTAGTGTTATACACCATGGATCGATGGACCTTAGTGTTGTACAAAACGCATATAAGCTCATTTAGCTATTTTTGTGTTTGCCGATCTATTTATTTCTTGTTTTTTTCAATTTTCCCTAGCCTCAACAAACATGTGCTATATGTACATAGTTGAAATGACAGCATTTAAGTACAGGCTTCTGCCTGGTGTGCTTAATTAGGGACCCCTGATATGGTTTAAGCTTTTGTTTCCTTTCAATCTGCCAAAGTACAGGATGCCTCAATTTCTCGATTCGTATAGCTAATGCAGCTTTGGGCATACACCAATGAGGTGTGAGAGGCCAAATATTTAGAGTGGAGCCCTTTGAGAATGGCTTCTGTCTCACAAAGTTACCTACTTTCCTACTCAGAGATATGTAAGGGATAACTGTATGTATTAGCTAGACAGTCCAGCATCGACGCATATTAAAGGAAAAATCATATCATTGTAAGGTATACATTAAAGCAAATTCTTAATTAGAGTTAATCTTGTATATATTTTACTTAAAATGTAATTAAATGTACTTACAGCTATGGATTATTGAAAAAATAATGCTCTGGGGTTCAATAGGAGACAATGAGAAACTAAATGGAAGATATTTGGACATATTTTAATTTGTTCATGACTAGCGGTTTAGCAAAAAAATAAATAAATAGCATGTCTAGTTAGTTGATGAAGCATTATCTTACATGGGTGCAGCTTTTCAAGCCTGAAATGCATAGAGTCGCATTCCTGATTAGATAGGACGGTAAAGAGAAGGTCACAGACTTGTGAATATGTAATAACTAATTATTTCTGTAAATGTAATACAGAGCTCTAAATGGTATAAAAAGAACATGTAACAAATGTTTTCTTTAGTACAGTTCTCGGTGTGATTCTTTTGTCTCTACTTCCAGACGGGATGGTTAAACATGCCTTTAGTACAAATTACACTTTATTATACCTTAGAAAATCCGAAAGCTACATTCTCGCTCTTTGAATTATCCTCAGAGCAGGCTCTGAAATTCCGCAGAAAGGAGTAGGAGCCTCTTTGTCTTATTCCTTCTTCACTTCCAGCAATGAAACAATGAAAGGATTTTATGAATAAAATATTACATCAAATAAAATAAACCCAATACTCATCCAGTTAACCATTTTCTACTAACCACTGTATGATATTTAAAAAATTAAATAGAAAAATTAACAAAAAGTGAAAAGGCAGGTAATGATTAGATGTTACCTAGTTACAAACAAAAATTAGGATGTGTTTGTCTTATGTTTCTGTTTTTTACGGAATGTTATCAGTTGTTAGCCTAGCTTCGGGTAATCAGAGATGGATTGCCCATGTATAGTGTTTCTACCACACAGTTTGTAGTTAAGTCAGTAAGTCCATGCACTGATTGTAACATACCTCAGTGTCCTCAGATGGGTTCTATATCTGCCAGATCAAAACAGCTTTTCATCCTTGTGAAGTTGTTTATATGAGTATAGTTAATGGAATAGTTTGTTTAAAAGACATTGTTTGGTGGAATGATGAACTTGTGATAAAACTTAGCTGTGGTGGAAAGATCTGGTTCAGAGATTCTGAGGCCTTTATTCCATTAGCAATGCCAGTTACAGCAAAACACATTTATGGAGGAGGAAGACCTTTTCTTAGGTCTTGACACCAGTTAGTGGCTCACTAATGATCTACGAAAATCCAAGAAAGGGGAGCTTCTCCTCTTACCTTATTTCTAGATCATAGCTACACATAATGTTAGCAATGGACTGTTTGGCTTCAAGCAGGCTCGTCGCTTGGGGGCACAACTTTGGGATACAGTCCTGAATGACGATGGTGGGTGAGCCCCAAATCTGTCTGTGTTTTTCCCTCATGCTGCTCTTCCTCCTGGTCTCCATGCTGAATCTTGATTGACAGTTGGCCTCAGCATTGGGTCAATTAGGCAACTGCCTAGGACCTCGCTCACACTAGGGCCTTGTCCTGTGTCCTCAGCCCGATGCCACCCATTGATGTCATGCTGAAGTAACGTTGCTCTGGGTGAGTGAAAGTGACTCCTGCTACCAGCCTTTCCAGTTCCTGCACATGGTGCATTGTAGAAGAATGTATTGCTAGTAACGGAAAGGGAACAAGTGCTGGATGTGGCCTAGTGAGTAATTGTTCATGATTCACAATGCAATGATAGATATATGCATGCATGATTGCTAAGTGGAATCCCAAGAGCTGGAATAGCCACTGCTCTCAGCTTATCTATTCATTCAGCAGTTAGCAAGATAACATTTGGAAAGACAAGAACTGTGCTTGGATACAATTCTCTTGCTTTACCCTATCTGGCTATTTTAAACAGTGCTGGTCCTGGTTTGTCCTGGTTTGATCTTTAGTACATTTGTTCATTCATGTATATTTAAATAGGGAATTGTGTTTGTCAATATGTACATTTCTATGTGTGCCTGTGTCAGTGTGAGCCTGTATGTTTTTGCCTGTGTATGCCTGTATGTGGTGCCTGTAAGCGTGCCAACTATAGGCCAGTAAGCCTTACTTCAGGGGGTTTACTTCAGGGAGATCATGCCAAACTAATCTTAGTGATTTTTTTGATTGGATAACTAAAATAATAGATCAGGGTGGTGCAGTAGACATTGCTTACCTAGATTTCAGTAAGGCTTTTGACACTGTTGCACATAGAAGGCTTATCAATAAACTGCAATCTTTATGTTTGGATTTCAATATTGTTGAATGGGTAAGGCAGTGCCTGAGTGACAGGCAACAGAGGGTTGTAGTCAATGGAGTATATTCGAAGCTTGGGCTTGTCACTAGTGGGGTACCTCAGGGAACTGTATTTGGACCCATTCTCTTTAATATATTTATTGGTGATATTGCAGAATGTCTTGATGGTAAGGTATGTATTTTTGCTGATGATACTAATATATGTAACAGGGTTGATGTTCCAGGAGGGATAAGCCAAATGGCAAATGATTTAGGCAAACTAGAAAAATGGTAAGAGCTGTGGCAACTGGCATTTAACGCGGATAAGTGCAAGTTAATGCATCTTGGACTTAAAAACCCAAGGGCAAAAAACTGACGGACATGATGGGAGAGACTCCCCAGACCACCACTTTAGATACGCCTAATTAACCAACTTTATCCACACACTACCACAGGGACCGGCACTCACCAGAGAACGTACCACACTAGAGGTGGTCTGCATTTACCCAGACCCACTCCCGCATGGAGTGTCCTTTCTATACTCCATGCTACAAACAGACATCCCATCCGAGACACCCCTCTTTATGGGGAAGTGGGAGCTGCCCTCAGCAAAACATTCACAGACACGGAGTGGGAGTCCATCTGTTACCTCACGCACCACTGTTCAACACATAGTAAAACGCAAGAGACAGCCTACAAGTTACTAACACACTGGTACAGGACACCACACCTCCTCCACCAAATAGACCCAGACCACTCCAGCCTATGCTGGAGATGCGAACGAGAGGAAGGCACTATAAAGCACATCTGGTGGGACTGCGCAATGATCAAACCATATTGGGAGAGGATACATAAAATGCTAGAGAAATTCACAGACGCACCGCCCCCACTGGAACCGGCAGCAATGCTCCTACACCACACTTCTGTTCCCCACTCTAAGTATAAAAAATCCATAACCATTCGAATACTTAATGTAACCAAACGAGTGCTCCCCCAATTCTGGAAACAAAACATAACACCCCCACTCATGACCTGGTTCAGCCAAATGGAGGAACTCAGGACAACAAAGGAACTGACTATGACTGCCAATACTACGGCCTACATGGATGCCGCCCTATGAAGTATATGCGCATGTGCGGCGAAGCAGTGCATGCGCACAAGGGAGCAATTACGCTTCCAAATAGGGAGCGCGAGGCTTCATGAGGCTCCCGGCGCTGGAACCAGGTGAGTAAAATCGTCTGCCTGGAGAGTCCCTTTAAATTGGGTATAGTCAGTCTAGATGAGCTGAATGGTTCTTACCTGCCATCACATTCTATGTTTCTGTATTTGTGTGCGCCTGTATGTCCTGTCAGTGCATGCGTGCGTTTGTCTGTATTTGCTTGTCTGTCTATGCCTGTATATGCCTGCATGTATCTGTCTGTGTGTGCCTGTGTATGTCTGTATTTTTGCCTGTGAATGTCTGTGTATCTATGTCTTTATTTATGTATCCATGAGTGTACTAAAAGGCATATTAGTTGTTAGGGTGTAATTTGTACAGGACCGAGGGTGGGGTGTGGGGTTTTTGAAAGGGGTTCACCAAACTTTGCTTTCAGTTTAAAGGCCCTTGATTCATGTATTCTCAAACAGGGAGATAAGTTCGGTAACTATCTTCAATGAAACCAGCAAATCTATATTTCTTACTAGATTAGAGTCCATGGTTACCAGAACTTTACGTTCTTGCCATTTTTTTATTTGTTTTATTTTTCAAGATATTTTGGTTTAAGACATCTGTCATTAGACTCTATGTCCTGGGACTCATGAGGGATACAATACATCATATTTAAAACTCAATCGTTG